GGCTTTAAAAAAATTGTTTTTAACTGCAGAAATTGGTGGCATTTATCAGATCTATCTCAGGAGAAAGCAATTCAGGAAAAGTATACTAGATAAATGTTTGGTAGTCCCTTCCATTCAATTAGTATTTGCTCGTAAGGTATCTTTAGTAGCAAATGTGAGACCCCACCGCTAATAGCAAGTCCCAGGTGAATTGTAGCCTCCTGCGTTGTCAATTAGAACAAGATCCATGTGCCCTAGATGAGATACATGCAAGGTCAGCAGACTGAATGTGAAAATGTGGGAACCGGAGCACTTTTCTTCTCAAGCTCTTTCTCCAGAAATATCTGCACCACTGGCAGCATTTGAAAACTGACCCAAAACATTATATCAAGGACTTTTGTCTATGCCTAAGCCAGACATCCCCCAACTGTCCTCTGTTTGTTGTGCCCCAAGCAACTCACTAAGTGTTTTGTGGTGGTCCTGTGCCAAAGAAATATAGTTTTGTTTATCAAATACTTAGATCCAAACGGTTTTGTTTATTAAATAATTTAGTTCCAAGTAACATGAATAAGAATTTAATGTCTTAGCCATGCAATAGTCATTTGAAAAGGTAGTTCACATAAACTGAAAGAAAGAATATTTTATTTTATTTTTAAATAACTACATCTCCTGTTGCAGACAGTTGTTCACATGATAGTTCTTTTCCTTTTTTAAAAATTTTATTTAAATTCAATTTGCCCGGTGGCTCAGCTGTTTAGCGCCACCTTCAGCCCAGGGCATGATCCTGGAGACTCGGGATGGAGTCCCACGTCGGGCTCCCTGCATGGAGCCTACTTCTCCCTCTGCCTGTGTCTTTGCCTCTCTCTCTCTCTCATAAATAAATAAAATCTTTAAAAAATAAAAAAATAATTAATTTGCCAACACATAGTATAACACCCAGTGCTCATCTCATCATGTGCCCTCCGTTATTAACACCATCACCCAGTTACCTCATCCCCCCTCCACCCACCTCCCCTTCCACAACCCTTTGCTTGTTTCCTAGAGTTAGGAGTCTCTCATGGTGTGTCTTCCTCTCTGATTTTTCACCACTCACTTCCCCCCTGGTAGTCATTTTCCTATCACAGTAACCAAAACTCAGCTCTGCAAAAACATGTCATTAAAAGAAGGGGAGCACAATCCACAGTAACACCATGAACTGCCTTGAGTCAGTCATTCAGACAGTGTCTAAAAGTAAATGTCACTGTGTGTTCCTCAAAAAATTTAGAATATGAGAGCCTGGGTGGCTTAGCAGTTGAGTATCTGCCTTTGGCTCAGGACATGATCTCAGGTTCAGGGATGGAGTCCCACATTAGGCTCCCTGAGAGGAGCCTGCCCCTCTCTCTGCTATGTCTCTGCCCCTCTCTCTCATGAATAAATAAATAAGTCTTTAAAAAATCAGAATATCCCACTGCACCCCTGTAAGCTTCCTGTGGCACCCCAGAGTCCCTCAGTACACAGTTTGGTAACTGAAGGGCCTAAGCATTTGTACAAGCACCTGGTTGAATCCTGAACAACCTAATTAAAAATTTGAAAATTTTCAGGGCGCCTGGGTGGGCTCAGTCAGTGAAGTGTCTGGCTCTAGATTTCAGCTCAGGTCATGATTTCAGGGTCATGAGAATGACACTTCTGTGGGGCTCACGCACTGGACATGGAACCTGCTTGAGATGCTCTCTCTCTCTTCTCTCCCCATCTCCTTCTGTCCCTCCCCTACTTAAAAAAAGAAAAACCCTAAACATTTTCAAGATTAGACCTTCTAGATATTTCCCTGTTTTGTATGAGAAAGATTCAAGTTATTCAACTAGGAAGCCCACTGCATTGATCTCTACATTCAAGTTATACTCTCTGAATAGAAGCAAATTAACAAGTGCATTAATGTTAAATTATCACCAGCCAATTTTTGCAGCTTTCTTGCTTGCCTTCTACCATGCTGAAATGGGCAAGCCTTCATCTTCACGTGCTCTTCCTTTTCTGTTATTTCTTTAGTCCATTGTTTGTAGTTCAGTGTGAAAGGGATTTAATATCTTTGTGTCAGGGAAGGCCTATTTATTCTGACAAACTGATCAACCTCCAGGGTGTTCCTCTACCATGAAACTGATTTTATATCTCATCCACGAGCTAATAAGATGTGAAGCGTTTTCCCTGTCACGCCGAGAGATCAGACTTGCTTCTGTAGAAAGCACTGGGTGAAATCACACAGTGGGTTCTTCTCAATGACTGAACAATACAGCCTGCATTTTTCCAACATAGCATGTGAAAGCAGAGAAATGGCTCTGAGGCAAACCTAAAGATGAGCAGACACATTAATAAAAAAAAAAACTGTTTTTCATCTTAAGAGGAAGCTCTGAGATCCACTTCACTCACTGTTTACTGGATTAGCTTTCAGTTCAGGGAAAATAAAAATGCCAAAAATTAAAACCTGGTAGTATTGGTGAATTGTGTAAAGACATCCTGACACACACCCCTCTCCTGCCAACTTGAATTTTTTCTTATCCTTTAAGATTTGATTTATTTATTCATGAGAAACACAGGGAGAGAGGCAGAGACACAGGCAAAGGGAGAAGCAGGCTCCCTGCAGGGATCCCACTGTAGGACTCGATCCCAGACCCCAGGATCACCACCTGAGCCGAAGGCAGATGCTCCACCACTGAGCCACCCAGGTGACCCACAACCTGAATCTTTAAATAAAGTTTAGTCCCCACTAAATTGGGTCCAGTCTCTCTGCTGTGAGAAGAAATAAGACTAGAATACTCTGGAAATAGTGGCTAGAAGGTAGGTTGCATCATATCTATAGAGGCTTTTTCCTTACCAGATACTTGCCTTTCTTGTTTAGTATGCTCAGAGATTAAGACAATTTTCAGACAAGCTGTTAAAACAAGAAATTGGACATAGGGAAGGAGGGAAATCTGTCTCTGTGGTGAAGACAGCATGAACCCTTGGATAGGCTGTTCTTTCTGAGGTGAGGAAGGGTGGTGATATACTAGGGGATAAAGCTGGACTTCTCTGCATCCTGTTTATTTGGGGACTTACCTGAAGCAAAACTACACTGACTTCTCAGCTCATGCTATAGAATATTCATATACAACTTTAAGCCTCTGCAACTTTTTTGAGTCTTCCAGATTCTTGGTACCGTGACTATATCAGTCATCGTTTGCTGTGTAAAAAACACCCAGAAACTCAGTGATTTAAAACAACAATCTTGTTCCTGTTTTGCCTTATTTTCTTTTTTTCCAACAAGGCCGTAATTTGGGCGGGGTCCTGTAAAGAGTTTGTGTCTGTTCCATGTGGGGTCGGCTGGGGTGACTCATCCAGGGGCTGGAAGTTCCCCTGGAAGTATGGCTCAGACTCATGGCTGGCAAGTCGGTGCTGGCTGCCTGCTAAAAGCTCAGCCAGGGCTGTTGGCCCTCAGCTTCAGTTCCTCTGTGCACGAGCCTCTCAAGAGCCACTGGCAGGAGCAGAAGCCGCCAATTTCCTAAGGCCTGGGCCCAGAAAGCGGCATGCCATCATTTCCACCATGTGTGGTCAAGGAGTGAACACATCCATATTCAAGCAAAAGAGACATAGAACCCACCTCTCCATGGGAAGAGTACCAGCTCATCCTGGGCTGATGCTAGAAAACCACCACCCCTGCCCATACTCCCTAATCACTGATCCTGCTCTCTTCCCTGGAACATTGCCTCTGAATACAGTTTCTACTGTGAGATGTGTTTCTCCCCAGTGTGTTAGAGAATGTTCGTTGAAGGGAACCTGTTTTTTACTAAAGCAGCTCCTTCTTCAGCTGTGAAACGGGGTGGGGGGAAAACAGTACCTGGCTGTTACCAGCTTGATTTTTAGAAATCAATTTTTAGAAATATTGTAGAAATTTTTAGAAATATTGTATGCCAGTTAAGGCGTACTAGCTCCCCTACCTCGTACAGGGTTTCGATGAGAGAGTTACTACTGCTACCCTGGTTTTTCAAAGGGCACATATCTGAGGCATAGGTGCCAAGGTGGCTTCCTGAGGTGTCTCACTCAGTTGGCAGGTGACAGGGTGATGACTTCAAGCCCACGTGTCCAACTGCAGAGCCCACCCCCTTAGCCAAACCCTCTAGAGCATGGCTGGTGATGATGGAGTAGTCCTAGAGGGGACAGCTGCCTTTTCCAGCATTCACTCTGCAGCTTCCTTCCCACAAGACAAAGGGTAGAGGTGCTCCCCAGGTCTCTTCCATTCTGCAGTGTGGGAATGATGAAAGGAGCACCATCATCAGGTGAGAAGACCCACTCCAGGCCACGTATTAGTCCCTGAGGCCGACATAACCAAGTACAACAGACCAGGGGACTCAAACAACAATTATTTTCCCACAGTTCTGCAAGCTAAAATCCCACGAACAAGGTGTCAGCAGTGTTGGTTTCCACTGAGGTCTCTCTCCATGACTTGCAGTCATAGAGGATTAGGGCCTGCTCTAATAACTTCATTTTACCATACTTACCTCTTCAAAGACCCTCTTTCCAAATGCAATGACATCCTGAGGTACTGGGGGTCAAGACTTCACCACATGAATCAGTAGGGGACCCACTTCATTTCATCTTTCCGTAATAGGCTTTCAATGCAAAACCAAATCTATTAACATAAACATATAAATCCTCTGTGTATGTAAACAGGTCTTGGATGTGAAATTCTTGAATAAACTTGTTTTCCTCATATCCTAACACCAGTAACACTCTACTACAGGTATTTATTTGCATTATTGTCTCTTCTGGCAGACTAGAAACATCATACAGATAGGAACCGTGTCTCACGCATCTTTGAAACCCTGCTATATTGCTTGAAATATTACTTAGTGAAAGAATAAACAATATAACTTTATTTCTCTTGGCAAAAAGTAATCTGGCACAGAACCCATCACACAAGTCAGAGGAATGAATATAATGAGCTTGGGGGAAAAAATGTTATATCCAAATGCTGCCAACAAACCCATCCCTAACACGTGTGTGTTCTTCTGCAGCTCATCTTTTGCCGGGAATGTAAGGAAGAGTACCATGAAGGCAAATGCAGCACCCTATTTGAAGCCTCAGGAGCAGTGACTCAGGTAGAGTGCCCTCTTCCCTCCACAAAATAGGGCTCGGGATTGGGTGAGAGACAAGAACTGGTCAGAAGGGTTCCAATCTGAAAAACAAAACAAAACAAAAACCCAAAACCAGACTAGTAGCCTACAGCCACGGGGAAAGGGGCTCTGACTATCCATGCCTGTGGTCCTCCCAGATCCATCCACCTTCTCAGGGTAGGGCTATAGATGGCCATTGGGATATGCCCATACTTTCCCCAGGGGAATAGGGAAAAGGAACATAGCATGATCAGAGGAATCTTCAGAGGAGAGAGAAAACAATTTAACAGTTTCTGAATCTGATCAATCAATGTGAACTCCCACACTTATATTTTTTTAAAGTGCCTTGTTTAAAATCATTGGTGAAGCTATCTCCATGAATGATGTGCACATATTATATGATGCAAGTATATTATTGTTTTTTAGCAATATCACGAACTATGCTAAATTGTATTTCAGTCTTGATTAGGTAAAGAACGTGTTTACTGAACCTTACTCTCCAATGTACTATATCAAGGCTTAGGGAAATGCAAATACATTTTCTTTTATTTATTAATTATGATCAACAAACCTTAGAGGAAAGGAGTAAAAATTTCAGCACAGTTGATGAATTCACTCATTATTTTTCCACTGATAGAGATGTTAACAAGGTTTTAAACATTAAATCTACCCAGATAAATCTTTTAGTTATTTTATTGACAGGAACCTCATAAATAGACATAGAAATTTCAGAACGTTTTAATTTTTTTAGAACGTTTTAATTTTATAGTAGAGAATAGAAAATATCTGAATGTTCTAATATTAGAGCATAAAGAAGTATATCTTTATAAGGTATTTTGTGGATTTATTTACTAATATTAACATAACTAAATAAATATAACTTGTGAATTCAGGTCTTCTTATCAGCTTCTAAAATGTTGGCCATGAGCATATTGGGAGATAGGTCTGAATTACCATAATTTTTGCAACAGAGACAGCAAATGCTCTTTCTGGTGATTTTATTTTAGCCCAGGGACATTCAAATACAAGCTCACTGCATACTGATGTCAGAAATAATATTAGCCCTGAGACTCCCCTGCCCCAGGACCCTGTAGCCCAGAAGAGCTGGACTAGACCAAGGAACTGAGAAATGGAGTTGGTCTAGAAATTTACATCCATATGTTCTTATAACCACAAATACTGACAAAGCATTCAAGAAGTGATACCTTAGTATCTATTTATTTGAAAACAATAGCCATAAGGTGAAGGAGAGAACTGCTTAATGTAAAGTTGTCCCAGTGCCTGATCCCCTTGATAATCCCCTTCATGATTCATTTAAGAAGAACCAACCAGGGATCTCTGGGTGGCGCAGCGGTTTGGCGCCTGCCTTTGGCCCAGGGCGCGATCCTGGGGACCCGGGATCGAATCCCATGTCGGGCTCCCGGTGCATGGAGCCTGCTTTTCCCTCTGCCTGTGTCTCTGCCTCTCTCTCTCTCTCTCTCTCTCTCTCTCTCTCTCTCTCTGTGTGTGTGTGTGTGTGACTATCATGGATGAATAAAATAATAATAATAATAATAATAAATTAAAAAAAATAAGAACCAACCAACCTTGGTGTTAATGATTGAGGTAGCACCCCCAAAATTTTTTAAACCATTAAAAACTTAATATTCAATTCAGGAAAGTGGAAGAAAGCTAGAGCTTGCCTTAAGCATTAGATGATCAGGATCCTGTGTCTGCAAAGACCACCAATTAGCAAACATTAAATCAAGCATTTGTATCCACCAGACATTCTTCTGGGAAACTGCAGGTAAGCATTTTTTTAGGATTTATTTATTTATTTTAGAGAGAGAGCAAGCAGGGGAAGGGGTAAAGGGAGAAGGAAAGAGAGAATCTCAAGCAGACTCCTCAATTAAAGCAGAGCCCAACACAGGGCTCGATCCCATGACCATGAGATCGTGACCTGAGCCAAAAATCAAGAGTCAGATGCTTTTTTTTTTTTTTTTTTAAGAGTCAGATGCTTGGGATCCCTGGGTGGCGCAGCGGTTTGGCGCCTGCCTTTGGCCCAGGGCGCGATCCTGGAGACCCGGGATCGAATCCCACGTCGGGCTCCCGGTGCATGGAGCCTGCTTCTCCCTCTGCCTATGCCTATGTCTCTGCCTCTCTCTCTCTCTCCCTGTGTGACTATCATAAATAAAAAAAAAAAAAAAAAGAGTCAGATGCTTAACCCACTGCCCCACACAGATGCCCCTGCAGATAAGTATATTTTTCTTTAGAATCACATGAAAGAGTTATAGGGGAGACTTAAGGGAAAATAGATAACAATAGTAATATGCAAAACAAAGTTTAGGAAATATATAGCTTTGTACAATGCCTCCCCAGAAAAGACATGGAAGGTAGATCAGAGTTTGTCAAAAGGATAGTGGGTAAAGGATGATCAAGAACATTCCAGCAGGAAACACTGCATGAACAAAAAAACAGAGGCAAATATCTTATCTGGAGCACAGATATTTAATAGATGTTTGTTGAGTGATTGTTGCATCCATAAAGAAAAAGACGTTATTTCATTCATTCATCATATATGTATTAAATACCCATAATCCATTAGGCTTTGTTCTAGGCTCTGGGGATACAGTACCTGCTGTCACAGGTTTTACTATATTAGATGCCACACGGGCTGCACAATCAGTATGATAGGAGTTCAGAAGAATAGTCGATTTACTTTTTTTTTAAGATTTTATTTATTGGGGATCCCTGGGTGGCTCAGAGGTTTAGCGCCTGCCTTTGGCCCAGGCGCTAAAATAAATAAATAAATAATAAAATCTTTTATTTATTTATTTATGAGAGACACACACAGAGAGAGAGGCAGAGACACAGGCAGAGGAGGGAGAAGCAGGCTCCATCCAGGGAGCCTGACGCGGGACTTGATCCCGGGACTCCAGGATCACGCCCTGGACTGAAGGCGATGCTAAACCACTAAGCCACCGGGCTGCCCAAAAATAGTCAATTTAGCACAGAGTTATCCAAGAAAGAATTCAGGAAGAGTAGTAAGACCTCCCTGTAGTAAGACCTCCCTGAAATGAAGCTCCTTTCTGCCTCACTCAAGCTGCTGGGCCAATATCATACTCCTCTTATTGGAAACAAAACAAATTGACCAACTGAACTGGATGAGTCTCTCTATCCATTACTGCCTGAGAACAGAAGGCACTTCTTGGGGTTTCACTGCCCTTTTTCCCTATGTCTCTGATTTATCAGGGTCCTACAGGAAAAAATAATCCAACTCAGATGCACATGAAGAGATTTTAACTAAAAGGTCACAGATGACCTACAGTGGTGGGGAAGGGTCACAAGAACCCAAAACAACATGGAGGGCCTCCTAGTGCAGTGTCAGTGGGGAGCCATGACCACCTGAGACATGAAGAGCCAAAAAGAGGAAATGATGTCACACAGGGAATAAGCCTGCCTGGAGCCATGGAGGTGGTGCCTCTTGACAGGAGGTATGACCACAGAGGGTCCAGCATAGCCAATGGGCCCCAAGCAGGAAGGGAAGGAAGATGGACATCTTGACTTCTCTCTCTCACCCTCTAATCTCTTGCTAATGTCTCCCATCGGTCACATCCAACTGAAAGCCAACTTCAAGGAGTCCTAGTGACACAGACTGTATGGGTCAGCCTTCCAGGTGCAGGGCAGAGGAGGGAAAAGAATACAGAGTAACCAGCACATTCTCTATGTTCTGATTTACCAAGTCTCCAAAGCCTCCTGATTTCAATCATAGCTATTCTTGGACATGGAAAAGGATGAACCACATGAACTGTTTCATCAAACTAAAAGATCCAATTCCATTCGGTAAGAAAAAGAAGGACTGTTATTTTAACAGGGCTAGTTTGTTTTCTGTTCCCTGTATTTCTCTCAAATGGCAGTGATCTCCAGGCAGATGACCTCTGCAATTCCACCGATAAGAAATTTTTGAAAGGAGAACACTCTATACATGCAACAATAAGAATCTAAACACAGCCGCCCCCCATCCCCTTGGAATTGAAGGCTTTGGATGCAGCCTCATGTCTGGATTTTGCTCATACTAAAAAAATACCCTCATTAACCCTCTTCACATTTCCTTTCAGTTCAATTCACTTGTAAGGTTTTCCCTTTCAATATTTGCAGCTACTCTCCACTGTTCTCCCTTGAAAGCTGAGCGGTTTCTGGTCTTTGATATTACATTTTCCAGCCAAGCAAGCCCATGTCTCCTGGGGCCCAATCAGGCCTTTTCCATCAGTTAGGCTGCTTGACCCTAAGCTTAATGCATTTTTTGATTAATGAAATAATTTTTTTAAAAAAAGCAAACTCAAAAATTGGTTTTAAATTGGTTTTAAAATATTGAACAAGCTTTAGGTTGAAACTGCTGGGAGTTTGGGAAATCAGTGACAGAAGATCAATCCATCACAAGCTAATGAGAGTCCAGTCCCATTTGCTTCCCCTTGTTCTTGCCTGGCTGTTTTCCTCCCCACGCTTTGTTTCCTTCCATATATTCCCTCTGGAGGCTTTCTAATAAGTAAACACTTGCTCTTGCAAACCACATAAATTGATTCATTCTCCCAGTGGTTCCAAGTAGTACATGTTATTCTCCCTATTCAACTGGAAGGCAAACTGAGACTTCTAGATTTTTAATGATATTGTCCGGAGCCACAGAGGAAATCATTTTCAGTGGCAGTACCCAATGAAAGAAGTTTGGGAACAGTGGCTGCTCTCTCCAAGTAATAAATCTACAGTGTCTAAAGGGAGTGTGCCCACCCCTGCCTGCCAAGCTCCTACCCAACCTGTAAGACCCAGCTCATATATCACCTCCTGCATGAAGCCATCTGACCACCCCCACTACCTCTTTGAAGCTCTCAGACAACTGTATATACTTTCGTTGTATATTAATCACACTGAGATATTGTTTCCCTGTCTCTTCATTAAAATTCAGAGCTTTATTGGTGCATGATTTGTACCTATTTTGTCTTTATAACCTC